CATGTAATCATACAACATAAAAAGATGAGAAGTCTCTCCACCTTAGCCAAACTTATTGAGTTAATCTAACTATTGTTATTGGATTAAAAGGGCGCCTCAACAGTATTATCTATCTAATAATAAAATATAATTACAATTACAAAATTGAACTTTCAACTTATAAAAATACATAAATGGTTAAGATTAATTAAATATTTATTTACCTTGATTCAATGGTATAAAAATTACCTCAATTTTTTCTCCGATTCAAGAATATCGTATTCTCTGCATGCCTTCTAATGCTAGACAACTCAATCAGCAGCACGTCAACACACTTTCTAATGTCAAAAAATTTCATCAATTTATATTTATCTATATTTTTAAATTTTGAATTATGTAATTAAAAAAACTAAATTGTTATTTAAACATATAAATATTGAATAATATATATTTATTTTTTGGTATTACATGGTGTCTTCAAGTATGAGATTAACTACTAATAAAACGAGGATTTAATTAGTAAATCAAGTGAAATAATAATGTACAACAAATATTATTGTAAGTAAAATTGAAAATATTTAAATCTTTCAGGTATAAAGTGCAATTTGCCTATATAAATTTAAAATTCTAGCAATCCTCCCACACTAAATATATATAGAAACAGATCGAGACGTTGGACCCAATTCGCCGAGACCAAAGCGAAGAAAGAAGTCTCAACAATATTGAAAAAAAGTAAACTAATCCTCCGTATGTTTGTTGTTTTTAATTAGGGTTTATGTGATTAACGATTTAGTTGGTTTTAATCGATTGTATAACTATGTTTCAATCATGTTCGTGATGGTTTTGACCTGTCTTTAGTTGGCTTGAATCGTGTATAATACTAAGGATTTCAAGAATGTTTGGTTTGTTTTGTGCTTATTATAAGCTTGGGATTTTATATAATTTTTGCTTGAATTTCATATTGAAGTTTTTGATGGGTCACTGTTTTTATAATTCCTTCCCTTGCTGTTGGAATATTACTTGATTATCTTTTAAGTAGGTTTTTTTTCAACCCTTAGGGTGGTTCAGCCTGTCGTTTGGTAACCCTGACAAGTTCAATCCCTTCCCATCATGGACATGTTATAACCCAGCTGATCGCCATCGAGCTCGAGGTAATAATACATCTACAAAAAAAAAAATCTGGGGGTTTGTTATGGGAATTTAAGGAATAATTTGTTTTAATCAAATCCATGTGCTCCCGTGGTGATGGAAAGTAGCCTAGGAACTGAAGGAAAGCACTGTAATTACTCTAGCGAATTCGCCTGTTCGACTAATCCACCGCAAGGTTCCTCTAGATGCTGATTTCTTTTACTTTACAATGAAACTGAATTTAGTATGATCCTCTTGTTAACTCCGTTGGATGATTCTTCTCAATTTATCAAAGCCATATTTCAACCTTTGAAATAATTTTTGAGTTAGTTTGGTCATAATCCATCCTTTAAAGTTCTAGTCTTTCCCAGTTCCTGTCAGTTTAAGTTCGTGGTTATTTTGAATACTAGCCCCATCAGTTACTTGTAGCCAAAAATGTACTCTTCAGAAAATGGAATTTGGTTAATTTTTAGGGGTTCTGTAAACTTGAATGTAATGATGGATAATGTTGTCATTCTGGGCATGTTAGGATCTCTAGGGAAAAAGAAGTGGCAATTACTTTGGTTCTAGATTGAAAGTGCTGAACAAAAACCTTCCAGAGGTAACTGCAGATTTGGTAATGCAATAGGAATGTAAATTGAGTGATGTGATTGTTGATTGGGATTGAATATCCGATAATTTGGCTTCTATAATATGCATGAAAGTATGTGTATATAATTGCATAGTATATAGTCATCACCTGAATTCGATTATAATTTCAGAACCTGTTTGCCCTTTAGCTATGTTATTTATATTGTGTAATAGGTAACACAAGTTTATGTTTGAAAACTGTAGAATGTGGATATGGACTAAGTTTGATATAGGGATGTGTCAAGGACACTTGATTTGTTTGTTTCATGGGTCTTGCTTGAGGAGGCTTAATCATAGCTGAATTTCTGTCTTTAAGGCAATCCCCTTTTAGGGCTTCACTAAATCATATCCAGGGAATCTTTAGGTTGTATTAAACACGCTCTTTAAACATTGGCACTAATAAACAGTTTGGAATAGTTAATCCTCTTAATGAGCATTTTAAAGTGCAGGTTTATGCATGGTTGTGAAGAAGATTATAACATGCAATGTGTATCGTATATTTGACTTGCTGCGGGCTCAATCCCACATCTTGGTTGGAAAATTGACTAATTAGCATGACATGTGGATTTATTGAAATCTTTTAGGATTCGTTCTAAGGTTATTGGATTGATTTCCAGCAACATGGAGTTTATTCGAGAATTTGTCACTTGCCCCAAGGTAAAAATAACTCAATTCCTTCAATCGCACTAGTTAGAGATAGGGAATGGTTCAATTAAGCAGTCACTTATTCGAGAATTTGTCACTTGCCCCAAGGTGAAAATAACTCAATTCCTTCAATTGCACTATTTAGAGATAGGGAATGGTTCAATTAAGCAGCCACTTGTGGTCAAGAGATGTATTATTGACAATGGAGCAAGTTCCATGTGTGTTGATAGTTCATGCCTTCTCTTGAATTACTATTTAGTTAGTTTGTCTAGCAGATTAAAAAATATATATCGATTAATTAATAATATATTTCCTATTTTGGTGCTTGTAATTGAAATGTATTGCTGGTAGAAAGCAGGTAAGATAGTGAAGTGAAGGCTTTGCCTTCTTGAGGTCCATGGTTCAAGTCTCCCTCCTTCTCCCCAAAAAGGAAAAAGAAAAAAAGGTGAGATAGTGAGGTGAAGTCCTGTTCATGTGGACAATAATTTTTCTATATTTTTGTTCTGACTCTTGGTTCTTCTAGGTTTGATTCCTTTTGCTTCATGTAGATGCTGACTTTGGTAGTACCCTGTCATTGAGACTTGAGTCCTTTGGATGAATGTCGTAAATTTATCAAATTCATAATTCAACCCCAGAACTGTTCTTTTTTTTGATAGGAAACTCAATTTTATTAAAAGAAAAAATGGCGTACAAGTGAAACTAATGAGAAAAAAGCAAACAAATCAATCACAAGTCGCCTTCCAATTCGCCAAAATTCTTGAACTGTTCTTTAATTGGACGTTTATGCTGGTCCACTCTTCAAGTCAAGAATTTTTCCATTTCTCAACATAATTGTAAGCTCCTAATTATTGTTACTTATTGTAGCCAAAACCTTACCTTTCGGAAACAACCCTGTTTAACTCAGATGCCACTGTTTTGTAATCCCCTGTGTTTTCATTAGCTCTGGAAAATTTAGCTGCACGTTTGAACTTGATGCTTGGGAAAACAAAAGGTTGTGACCTGGGATCAAAATTTTGTTCCGTTTCGTGTGAATGACTGAATTTTTTCGATTTAAGTGGAAGCCAATACTTAATGAGCGACAGAAAGTTGAAATTCCAGCATTTCAAAATCAATATTTTCACATTATTTCTCTGTTTTCATTATGTTTGGGAAAAATTTCCATTTCGAAGCTAACCAAAACCATGCACCAACACAAAAAGTTTGTTCTTTGGATGTGCGGCTACCGTTACGTGGTTATTTTTTCTCTTCATCCTTGGTTGTTAGTTTCTCATTTAATCTTCAGATTGGTGGTTGAAAACCATTAATTTCATTTCTATTAGGAACTAAAAGTTTGAAGAATATGATGTAACTGAGGTGAAAAAGGGATGTAATTCACCTAAATCTTTAGGTATTAAGTCAGCTTTTTTGAAGAATTAACTAGAATTTTTGTTGAACTTCAAACATTTTGCTTGTAGGTGTTGCACTGCTGCATTGATTTTGATATCTTTTCTTCTCATTATCCACCACTTGGTTAGTAATTGCGTTCTCTTGTTACATCTTTTTGTTTTCTTTCTCATTTGGAAGGACCAGTGTTTTGAAAAGCTCGCCTAGGCGAGAAGCGAGGCGAGGCGAGCTTATCTCGCCTGGAGGACTCCGGGCGAAGCGAGAAAAAACGAAAAAGCGAAAAAAGCAAAAAAGCGAACGCTTTATTATAAAAAGCGATTTTGCTTCAATTTTTTTTTTTTTTTCTGATTACAGGTTAGTAGTCTCTTTTATTTTTTAATCACTAATGACTTTTTTTTTAGACTATTGCTGGTCTATTTTTTTTTTCTAATAAACAATGTTTCGAACAAAGCACATTCCTTTTTTTCCTTCTGTTGCTGAATTCATTTAGAATATTTGTGGGATGTGGGAGTCAGGTGACTGCACTGCATGACAATTATGATAAAAAAAGGAAGCAAAAGTATCAGAAATGGGGGTAAATAATAGATTCTTCTACAAAGAAGTGTCTCTGATATGTCTTGATTATACTTTTCCCTTTTCTTATATATATACAAATGGTACCAAAAAGTGGTCTATGCTTATACCATGTTTAATTATTTTAGTACATGTGAAATGTGCCTCTGTTCTGCTTTTTTTTATTCAGTATATAATTACATATGAAATTGTTTATAATTGATTCTGCTCCTGTCATGATCATTGTGCTTCTGTTTTTTTTTTTTAGCTCATTCTGCTTCTATTTTTTTTTGTTGATTCTGTTGCTGCTTCGGTTTTGCTGTCCTGTGTTGCTTTTGTTTTTTTTTTACCCTCATTCTGCTTTTTTTTTTTTTTTTTGCTAATTCTGCTGTTGTCCTGATTCTGCTTCTTTTGTTGTCCTACCCTGTCAATATGAAAATGTATACAATTGTTAGTATTTGTTTAAATTTAAATGTTTAAGTTATGACTGTTATTAAGATTTGAGATATTATTAGTGTTTTTTTTAATTTAAATGTTTATGGTTTTACTTGCATTTAAATATTTAGTATATATAAAATTAGAACTTAGATTGTTTAGAAGTAATTAAACTAAAATATATATTTTTTTTAACTGTTCGCTTTGCTTCGGTAAAACGTGTCGCTTTGCTTCTCGCTTCTCGCCTAGGCGTTAGGAGCTTTGGTCGCTTCGGTTCGCTTTACGCCTTAATTAACACTGGGAAGGACTTTGTGGAGTCTCTTATCTATTTGATGACTGAACTAGTTTTCTTTCTTCAGTGTCACAGGTTTGTGTACCTCTTTTATATGTTTTGAAATTTATATTGGTCAAGCATGTCCTATAATTCCTATACTATGATCATGTTGTGGCCAAATGGATTGACATTCAATTTTTGCCCCGTAGTTGCCGAGAATCATGTGTTTTTACCTTAAAAATTCATATTCTAAGTAAAGATGAAATTGAAATGATAGAGGGAGTGGAACATATGTTTAAGCCTATGCTGCTGCAGTGGATTGTGTTACACCCAAGAAGAGGGGCATAGGGCTAACTTGATACCATATTGGGTGGCATTGTATTTCCGGAACTATGATCTGCTGAATCTTTCTTTAAAACAAAGATAAGTTTATGCAGATCTCGTTTGGCGCGTAACCACCAAGGATAATTTCTCATAGAAACTTCTGGAGAAGGAAATGGCTATTAAACTTGTTATGATCAACAAACACGCATCATATTAACAATTTAGACCTTCCAAATGTCAAACTCTGATATTGCTACTTAGGGGTTGCAGTGTGTCATGCCACATGCTTTTCTTCGGCTATAAGAGCCATCTTTTAATAAGTATGAGAAAATGTTCCTCAACCTTTCTGAGGGCATGTCCTAGGATGTCATTGCAGTGTTTCCACAGTGTGTAGTGTAACCTTTAGCACACAATTTTTAAGAGCTGTTTGCTGGATCTATTGACATTTTTTGTTTCCTTATGCAATAGAAACAAATGCCTTCTAGTTTTTGTCATCTCTTGTAAATTAAGAAGCCGTTGTTCAAAATTTGAGGCCAGGCTTGAAATTGCTGGATTGCTGTCCGTTACACGTTGACTCGTTTAAATACATTTCCAATGAAACAAACAATCAATTAAGTGTGTGTTGGATGTGTGCTGAATGACTAGGGATTGAATGGAACTGATGCTTGAATGGATGATGTAGTTTAATGGGACCATGGATAGAACTATATGTTTGCCTGTTGGTATTTCTTCATCATAATCTTTCCAGTTTGACCGTATGGCATTTGCAGGACAAATATTGTCACTTTATGGATAAGAAAGAATCTGGCAAGGATGCGTCAGATGCTGTGACTCGTGAGTCTCTAATTGCCATCTCTTACGCTGAACCAGAGGAGGATATTGCCCTGGGGCACTCACCTAAAGATTTAAAGAGTGAGAATGCAGTTGAAGGTACAAGTGGTGATGGAGACGAGAAGTATAGGTCTAAGCTGATCTCAATATCCTTTCAACTTTCTCCAGACATCAAAGCCCTACCAATTCGGCCCGAAGAATTTAAGGGTTAGGCTGGATATCAGGTTTGTCTTGTTGCTGCAATGTAAAATACTTTGTCATGACCTATTGTGAATTAGTGCTATAGAGTTTCAAATTCTATGGTCTTAGTGCTCTACTAGTGGGTAGTGCTTTACACACTTTACTAGAGGTCAACATTACAATGAAGTCATTCCCACACGTATAGATGTTGGCAATCACTACTCAGTTACTGTTTTGTAAAGTGTTTTTGCATTTGTGAATTTTTAAGTTTTTTAAGTAAATCTGTTTTTTATTTTTGCTTTTTCCTTGTCCATGTTTGTGCATTTTGTCCAAGCTTAATTGCGTGTATTGTAGGATACAGGAAAGGAAATATTATCGATTGTCAAGTTTAAACTTGTAATTCTAGGTTTTATAGGTACAAAGGTTCCTGCTTTAATTTGGGATGGAGTGGAACACGTAGAATCCAAGACCCCAAAATCTAAAACGAAAGTAGAACCCTGTTAAGAACCTTTGCAAGTATGAAGCTTTTCCTAAAAATGACTTCTAATCTTTTCTTTCACTGAGAATTGAACTTAGAAAATGCGGCATATATGAACTTAGAAGGGGGAGAGAATGCTAAAAAATCACTCCAATTTTTTTATCCTTACATTATGGCCTCCATACCAGGTCCGTTACCATTACCGTTATATAAAACTATGTAGCACATAGGTTCTTACTTTGGATGTAATGTAAATAAAGACAACATGGCAATATTAACTTGATAGGATTCTTTGGAACTGTTCTTGTTTTCAAACTTATGAATCATGCATGACACACTTTCTATATATCTATCCCCATACAATCAAAGACATCCATAGCAGCTCTGCTTGGTTTTCTGAAACCAGAGCATGGCAATATTATCTAGATAGTATGACCATGTGCACACTGCACCCTAAGAGACAAAATAACCTAGCTCGCCAAGTTTATAATGTACCCATGCGTTAATGATTGAAGAAAACATGGTTATCTCGATTGCATGACTATGTGCAGCTGCAGCTGAAGTTACTGAAAGAAAAAACATACATGATACAAAAGGTATTGAAGTTGGGTTACTTTTATCAAAACATTAACCCAAAAAAAAAAACCCGAAATGCCTCTTTTGACCACGATCAATCGCAAACATAACTCACTACATATCGGGTGAAACCTTGCCATCAATGGAACAAAAGCCTTCATACCTCACACCATGGTTGAAGAGAGAGAGAAGATGAAAAGGAAACTAATCACTCTAGGTTGTCTTCCATCGTCTTCCAAATTTTGACTTCCTATGTGTAAGACCTCGATTAAAACAACTAAGTCTAACTGTACATTGTATTCGTATGGGTTTGCTCGACTTCTTATTCGAATAAATGGTTCAAGTATTCTACATCAAATTTGGTTAAAACAAGTCCCTTCAACTTCAAGCAAAAACATGAGAACGATTGCAAGAGGAAGACCAATCGTTCTTATCAAACAACTTTTATTTTCGGGACAACCATCCCATAATTACCCTTAATCGTCTGAGACACATCCATTAGGCACCCCAATTTGGATCCAGCCCAAAGTTCAACAGTTACAGAAGAAAGCTCTGAGGTGTTGTGTTAGATTTCGAAGCACCAGCTTGTTCATGATTGAAGAAGGCAAAGTCCTCTTTCACATACTCTACACAGACCACCTTTTCAAATCTTGTTGGTATGCAAGCTTCTGTCTTGTGGATTTTCTAGCAGATAGTTTTGGGGTTTTCAAAACTTCTAGTGCTTGTCTGTTTTCCTCCTCACATTGATATCGGTAGATGCTTTGTTTTATGCAGAGATTTCACTGAAACTTTTTAACATTTTAGTTCTGCATCAGAATTGATTCCTTTGTTTTATAGAGATAGCCCCTAAAATTCAGCAGATCCACCACTATTTTCAGCCAATCTATTTCTTTGTAGACATTTCCCTGGCTCTTGGCAGTGATTGGGAGACACCCGACCAGCAGTCTAATAACATAGTTTCTTTCACTACCTTTGTCATTTAGTTTTAACTTCAGGATTATTCTGCGAACTTGATTGTTATCACTAGTCAATAAAAGTGGGGTCAGTTTCACTCTTTTTCAGAGCTGGACAGTCAAGAGAGTTTCGTGCACACACTTACGGAACTCTTGCTTCAAAGAATCATCCAAATAGCTTAATTTGTTAAAATTTAGTTAAATTAAGTTATTCGGATCATATTTGAATATGGACCACGAAAATAACATTGGTTAAATTATCAGATTCAGATCGAACTTTTAAATCTAATTCAATTTTAGATTCAAATTCAGATTAGTTAAAATCCAATTTAAATCTAATCCGTTGACATGTATACTAACATTTAAAGGAATAAAAAATGATTCTAAGTACTAACCAGCAGTGGAGGTGTCTAGAGTTCACTTGCTGGGATTGGGAAAAAAGAATCGTCCCAATCACGAGTTTTTTTTGACTTTTTTAATTGAATAAAAGCTTTGAATGCACATAAAAACTCAAAAATTACTCTCATCGAATAAGCCAAAACTCAAATTTGGGTCGTCGATATATGACCAACAACAATCTTATTCTTGATGATCATCACTAATTAAAGACTTAGGTTATGATGAATTTATCCCTTATGAATATCTTAACTTCGACGTGAATGAACCTGTTTTTGACTAGATTGGAGAGAGAATTAATCGAGGTGCACATAAGTTAGTCCGAACACCTCTAATTATTGAACAAATAAATAAATAAATAAAGAGTTAGAATAATGGTTCCGATTCTTATTTTTACTTACTTTTGAATGACAAGGTAACTAAGACCCTCGTACATTAAAAAATGTACAAGTTAGTATTAATTCTGCAGAACTTCATATGATAAAAGGCCACTTTACTTTAATCAGCTTTGAGTGGCGATAACTTCCTCTGCATAAGTCTTACTTTGCGGTGAAAGAAACGTTACGATGTGTATATAATGAAACTTGTCGATGAATCAGATATCAATTCGAATAAAAAAAATAGTTAATTTGTGCATGTATATATACACACACTCACACACACACACATATATCTATTGTAAATGTCATACATGTTACATGTAGGGCCACAAATAACAACATCAAAGACAATAAGCTTTTGTTGGAGGCTATCATGTATGGAAAAAGCTAATACATTTGTGGGTTTGGGCAACAATTCCAATTCTATCATAATCCAACTGAAGATATCAATTAACTTGAACCCATTATATGTTGTTCCTTTAGGGAACATCTAGTATGGCATTACTAAGGGCCCTATGGGCTATATTTTGGCTCTATGTTTCAAACTCAACTCTTTATCAATGTATTCTTTCAAATTTTTCGATTCTCGATCACCATCGTATATTGACAAAGAAAATATGAGTAAAAGCTATTATGATAATCTACTAATATCGATTTCTTATAACGTTGTGGAAAAGGTGAAAGATTGAATAAGTCAAAAGAAAAATGCAGGGCTTTTTTTTTTCTTTTTTCTTTTTCGTTTTGCCCCTCTTCTTCCTTCACCATTTTTAAGTCAAAATTGTATCATTAAACAAACTTACCTTTTAATCAAAAGTATTGATTTCAAAACCCGAAGAGGTAGATAAGTTAATCAGTAGTCCATTGTAAAAAGTTTTGAGATCGAGTCTCTTTCTGGTTACTCACAAGGATTTATCTTGTTAATTCAACAATGCATGTCGGAAGAGAGAACTACATGTGTCTCGGAGGTTTGATCGGATAATCTAAGAGCTTCTTCAATGAGATGCCTCCTATATTAGGAAGAAATATTCATTTTAATGGTAATACCACGTTTGACATTGTCACGTGGTGTTACCAACAAATAAGAAAACGGTCCACACACAAACCAATTACTATTTGTCCATATAAGTTAATAAATACCAACTTTTTTTCAATATAAGTCAATAACTATCAAAATGAGATTCACTTTACCTATTTAAAATTTTATTATTAGTCAGAAATAACATGTAAAAAACCGTTGTATAGAATATTTTCTCATATATTAGAGTGAGTGACAAAGATGATACTATTTACTAGACCTTGGACTTTAGTTAGTGGGAGGCAATGGAAATATGGGATAAGATAACATATTTGGCATGATTAGCACCACATATATTGTGAGCTAACAAAACTTGATTAGTATCAAGTCTAGATGACGAAATGATTTCTCCACCTAGAAACCACATCATTGGTACAAACCAAAACAGGAAGAAGAAAAAAAAAAGTACCCATACATGGTCTAAATCGAAACACAACGATAGCAGGGCATTTCATACTGTTTTATGGGGTCTTCTGATGTTATTCTCGATCACGACCACATGCCCAAAGAGTGACACTCGGAGATTACAAAATGATTTCTCTCTCTCTCTCTAGCAAGCACATCATGGTGCAAAGAAGGTAAAAAAGAGAAATAATGGAGATTTTTATTATTTATTATTTGGGTAAATTTCACCCACAACTCCCATAATATTTGATTTTATTACACAAACACCCTCTCACACTTTAAAAATGATACGAAACTCCCTTCACATTTGAAACTTATAATTTCTACACCCCCACCAACTAAACTAACATACGTTAGAATGGTTAATGGTCAAAATTGATGTCATTAATAATAATTCTAAAAATATCAAAAATACCCTCTATATTATGTTTAAAGTTTAAATTATATGTTGTTCTTACTCCAGGTGTATCTGTCACCCGACATCTCAACCACCAGGGAGAGAGAGAAATAGACTAAAACCAGCTACAAACTCGTCCCACAACCCATATTTGCCCATAACCAACCAACACCAAACCACCTAAACCAAACCCATCATCAACCACAACCTTTATTCACCCAAGCGAAGATCACAAACCCTAGGTGAAGATCCCTTCGTGCGGCAATCGAAGATCAAAGTACTATGGGTGGTTTTAGTGGTGGGTTTTGGATGGTTGAAGAGGTGGTGTTGATGGTTCTCTCCATCTCTATTGGGATATCAGTTGGTGGAGGTGTTGATGGCCAAGTCCATTTTTGCGATTGGGTTTTCGACAGTGATGTTGATGGTGGGAACTAGTGACAACAAATGGTAGAGTGGATAATTTGGGTGTGTGGTTAGGAGTGTTCACCCTACTTTACGGGTAGGAAGTATGATTTTTCGTCTTCATATACGATATCTTGCAGAATTTTTTTTTCTTGGCCTACCATACCCGATCAAGCGTGGTATTCCTACTCGACTTCCATCCAAATTAATCGGGTAGAAAATCGGGT